GCCCATGGAGTCGGGCGCCCAACCTGCCCCCATAGCTCCGAGCACAAGCTTCACAGGCTGGTGTCCCGGCCCCCCGCCACCCTTTCCGCTAGGCCATTTTCAGCAGCTCGGGGCCGCTTTGGACAAATTAAAACCAAGGAAAATAAAGCTGAGTCCAAGCTAGGAGCTTGTTAGTGCCAGCGTCCAGGGCGATTCTCATTCATTTGTAGCCCAGCGTTGGAGCCATCTAGTGTCTGGTCCAGTCCAGCCTCACACCATTGAGCCGCCGAGGATTTCCCTGCTTGGGCTGAGAGATCCGGCTCCTCCCAGAGGGTTGGCGGCCTGCTGGAGGAGCATGGCTGGTGGCAGGATGGCAGCTGGCTGAGGCCGGGTGAGCTGACGGTCGTGCGGGTACCGCAGCATCACAGAAAAGCTCCAAGAAGGGATCGGCAGCCCCCCAGTGCTGAATTCGTAATGAAAGAGCAGCCAGGGCTCGAGGATTTTTTTTACGTCCACAACTGCTGCAGCACGTCCAGAGGTGCCGGGGCTCTGAACTGCCGGGCCTGGAGGTGCCAGGGCTCAGCCCTGGCACAAATTAAGCACTACCCCCGCCCCCCATAACAAAGCCAGGCCCCACCCACGGGAGCCAACAGCCTGTGATGAGACACGAGAGGTGGAGTCAGCCGTGTGGTGCGTGGCAATTAGCACTCCCTGCCCCCCAGCCACATGAGCAGACAGCAAAGGGGCGGGGGAAATGAGATGGGGGTACAAGCTGCTACATGCCCACCCAGCAGCATCACAACAGTGGCTAGAAGCCCCAACAGCCATCAGAGGTGCAGGGTGCTGTACGTAGTGTGGAGGGCGTCCCTGCCCTGGGTTGCTTACCATCTACAGCAACCAGACCCCAGGGTGGGAGGAGAAACAGAGGCACAGAAAGCAGCAGCAAGGTGCCCAGGGTCACAGGGTAGCAGCAGAGCCAGGTCTCTTGATGCTGGATTAGGCCTCGCCTTTCTTCTTCTGGAGCTAGAAGATGGGAAGTAAATGCACCTGCTCCCCCCGGCCGCCGGGGCACCCTGCCAGGCCCAGGCTGATCATTAGCAGAGCAGAGATCGAAACGGGGAGAAGAAATTGGACACCCACAAGCCATGCAAGACGAGGGAGCCATGGGGGACGTTGGTGACCCTTGTAACCATGAAACGCCAGCAGCTCTCCCCTGAAGGCACATGGGGACCCGCGGGCCTGGCCGGCGGTCAATTTCCCCAAGCCCTTAGTGCTAAGGATTGTCTGTCTACTCCAGCCACAGAACCAGCTCCCCGGGCCTTAGGCAGAGCCCATGGTTGCACCTTCCCCGCACTCCTAGCCTTTGGCAGGACACGTAGAGCCCAGGCTACGCGCGTCACGGTGACTGGGGTTAGATTTGGATGGGTAAGAGCGGGCCCGTCTGTTTCAGAGCACTCACAACCTGCCCCCAAACCAGTTCACACAGCAGCAAAGTGAGAGAAATGCTGCTCGAGAAGGTAGCAGGGTGACTTCCGGTGTGTTTCGAGACGTGACAGTGACAAAACGCTCCGGAAGCTTTTTGAACCTCATTCCATCATTAGGTCCTGACCTCTCCCTGCCATAAGTTCCCAGCAAATTTAAATCAATGTAAAAAAATGCTAAAGACCCAGAATTTTGTGCAACTGAAAATTTAAAAAAATCGATAAAAAATCAAAGAGCTAAAATCAGCAATATTCTCCCTCAAAACGATCAAATAAAGTGAATTCTGCCCGTCTAGCGTCAGTGGATGGGGCATGTTTGGGACCCCGGGACAATAGGCTCTCGCCCACCCTGCAGGCGTTTGCCGGGTGCCTCCTAGGCCCGGCTGGAGGAGGGGAAAGACAGAACAAGCTGCTGGTCACAAGGCTTAGAAGCCGGTGGGCATTTCCTGGGAGGGGCAGGAGCGTCCCATCCTGTAAGCAAAGGCTGGTTTGTTGCTTTCCTGCGTGGTGGCGTTGCGCAGAAGGGACCCTCCAGGCCAAGGCAAAGAAAAACGGGACTACGCGGAGATGCCGCCTGACCCCTCGCCACTCCTGGTCGTTTGCTGGCCCATGACGCTTCCCCAGGAACCCCGGCTAAGATTCCACCCCCGTCCCAATGCTGCTGAACCCGCACGCGGCCTGATGGTCACTGCTCCAGCACCTCGGAGCCCCATCCTGGGCCTGGCCTCCTGTGGCCCACACTCTGTACAAACCCATCCTGCCCCTGGATGGTGCTGGGCATGGCTTAACCAGCTGCCATGCTCCCCCCCCAAGCACGGGGGCAGTTGGAACAGTGCAGGGGAAGGACGGTTAAGGGACGGGGGCTTGGGAGATTCAAGACAGAACCCGCCGTCCCGCGGGGAGCATTTAATGAGGCTTCCCCCTCTCGCAAAACACTCAGAGGCCCAAGCTGGAGAAGGAGATGACGGCGGTACTTCTGGTGTCGCAAAGCGCCGGAGGGAAAGCGGATGCCGGCTGCAGCTAGCAGAACCCAGCCCGATCGCAGGAGGAAGGGGCCTGAAGAGCGTCTGGCCTGGCCGCCCAGCTGCACGGGTGTTGGAGGAAACGGAGGAACTAGACGCTGTCAGCCCAGTGCCCGGAAGAGCCGGAGGCCGTTTGAACAAGCGCAGAACCCGTCGCATCATCCTTCCAGCCCGCAGCCTCGGGAACCAGTGTGCACCAGAACTGGTCCTCATGGGGGGGACCCCACCCGGCCGCTGGAATAAAGCCAGGACCACAGAGGGGGAAGGGCGCAGAGCAGACAGTGGAGTGGGGCCAGCCCCTGCTCTCCTCCCCCGCCCCCAGAGCACGCAGGGCCCCAAGGGAGCGTATGGAAGACTAAGGGGCTGGTACCCGGGTTCTTTCACGAGGCTGCTGCGTGCCCCCGTTACGGCCTGCTGCCGTGGCTGCTTTTAGCAATAAGCAATAGTGGTTTCAGGCACTTTATTGGTTTGCTGAAATCTCCCTGTCCAGCGCTAGTGCGGGGGATCTCTCGCCGCGCAGAGGGTAACGGCAGCTCGGGACGAAGGCGCCGATGGCAGCAGGCCTGTGGGCCTCTGCTTCCAGAATAAAGTCACCTAGAGCCCATCACGGGGCGGAAGGAGCAATTCCAACATCTTGGGGACAGATTCCATCACAGAACGGCCCTGGGACGGAACTAGGCTCCCAGAGGCTGAGTTACTCATGAAAGGGGACAGACATGAAAGGGAGGGAGGGGGAGGGAGTTTGTATTTGAACCCCCCCACACCCGTCTTTTTGGGGTGGGAAGCCTGTTAGGCTCCTGCTCCTGAGTGGCGGAGAGGTTGTGTTAAACATTTCGGCTGTTTGCCCCTGAGCCCCAGGGGGAGCCAGGTGGTGAGCCGACCCGACCGCAAGGGCCAGGGAACAAGCTTTATTCAGACTATTTCAAAATGATGCTTTTGCCAACACCTGTTGCACTCAGAGACCCGTCGAATGCTTGGAGAAGGGGGGGGTTGGTCAAAGATTCACCACCACCCCCTCCCACCTCTCGGGAAAGGACTCCCACATCCAGCAAACCATCCATCAGAGCCAGGCAGACTCGGCCTTCCTGATACTTGAGGTTTAAGAATAAGCAGAATTCACACACACGCTTCCCTAAAGTATAAGCAAAAGGTCCAGGCCCAGCCCGCCATGCCCCCATCCCCCTCCTCCCCACCGTAGGACACTCCTGCTGCTAACTTTGCAATGGCTTGAGCAGCGTAGCCTCCAATCCGGGCTGGGTCCTGGATAAGTGCTAGCAGCCAGGGGCTCCTGCCGGAACAGAGCCTTGCAAAGCAGATCTTTCCTCCCCCCTGAGAACTCTTTCACTGCCTGCAAGAATGGGGACATTTACAGTATCCCTACTGGCATCTGAATTAGCACCGTTGGGCTGACTGGGGGTAATTCCACCTCAGAGCCGTTGTTTCAGGCTCTCTGCAAACCCAGGCAGCGAGTGGCGGCACTTCCGGGCTGCTGTGGGGGTGCACGCCACTCTTGGGGAAACGCTAGGAGAGGGTGAAGGCAGCAGAGCCACTTCTCTCCAAAATGAAAGATTGGCAGCTAACCCGTCAAGCCAGAGCTAAGAGAAGAGAGAGCCCAGCTGTGGATATGAACGCCCGGGAGGGAAGGGGTGCAGCCGCCACGTCCAAACACGCTACTGCTGAACACCCCGGGGGACGGAGCCCAAACCCGGGGCAGGAGCGCGGAGGGGACCGTTCAGTGGCAAAGCAGACGGAGCTTACAGAGAAGCCAGTTTTGTGACGAACACGAGCTCAGGTCTGGCAGGACCGGGGGCCATGTGAACACAACAGTCAAATGCTCTCTTCCCAAATACACTCGTCCCTACCCCCCTGAAATGCTGTGGGCTGGCCCTAGCTGAGGGGGAGGGGGAAGACTTCCTGAGGAGTCCGTCATAATTTCGGGCCATCAGCAAGCTTGCCCCAGCCCCTTGCATACGGGGTTAACCTCCCGTCTAGAGGCTCATCCAACAGAAAACCCCCCAGGGCTTTGTGAGCTACCGAATTGGCCCTGCAGCAAGTCACCTGGCTGGATCAGCTGAAGGATTTTTGTTAGCAGAGCAGAGCCCAGCTGTCCCTGCATCAGATTCTTGCAAAACCCCAATGAAACGCCAGGCTCGTCAAGCGCTCAGGATGGTGTCGGCTGGAACACAGCCCCCCCCCCCCAGGGTATTTTCTGGGATTCCTTTGTGCAGCAGAGTAATTACCCTTCCAGGAGTGCTCATGCTGGGGGACTCCAGCCGCGGTGCACGGCCGATACTGGTTTCTAGCTGGCACCAGAACAAGGGACTTGCATAGAGAACTAGCTATTAGGCAGAGGCTCAGTTGTAGGGTCATTTCCAGTGGTAGAAGTCTGTAGAGAGTTTACAGCAAGGTGTGAACTGCAGGCAGCTGGCAAGGAAAGGTCACGGAAAAGCAGAAGCAGGTTTTGCAGGGTTTCCATGCAGGAGAGAGCCCCCGGAGATCGGAATGAAGGATTGGAGAGTCAAGAAAAGGCAGTTTATTAGTGCAGTCAACACAATTAAACAGCACACACAAGACACAACCAGCGAAGACACCATTGCAAGTCTAGTCTGATTTCCGAGCGCCCAGTTCCTCCAATGGAAAGGAGACAGAGGCCATCTCTGGAAGCGAAGGGTCTAGTGGAGGCGGGGAATCCGTTTTTTTTTGTTTGTTTGTTTTTTTTTAAAAGAGAACAGCTAGCCAGATACAGTTACCAGGTTGGATTTAGCAGCTTTTTCTAATTCCTGAGCATAAGGGTCTGGGTTGGGCAGAGCTCCCACCCAATAATTCCCCTTCTACACACGTCATCATCGAGACGTGAGTTCAAACACAACCTGCTCCATACCTCAAACTGATCCAACTTCTGAAGAACACGCCAGATGCTTGTAACGTAGGATACGAGACACACGGAAAACTATGAAGTTACCCAACAAAGAGCTTCTACAACTGCAGGGGGAAAGCCAAGCCATGTCCTGAAACAGAGAACTAGCTGGATTTCGTCAAGAAATATGCTGCATTAAAACAAAAACAAACCAACCCACATGAGCAAATTTGCCAGTTGAAAGAGAAACAAAAATGCATTAAAAGAAGGACCCTAAAAACTCCACCCAGGCAGGCCGGGTGGTAAAGGTGAATGCCAAACTGAACTCCTGCTGCAGTTTACAGAGCCTCTAAAGCAGGACGCAAAGGCTTCCCCGATGTCCACCAAACAGTGGAGGGAAACTGGAAACAGTATCTGGACAGCGTGAAACAAAACCCGCTGCTGCGGCTCGAGAGCAATAGTTCTCATGCAGTGTCTCCCTGCCCATGGTCTGCGTTGCAGCTCCAGGACCAGAAGAAAAGGGGACACACCTTTGTAACAGGCAGCTGGGCGAGGGGAGGCCTCCTCTGCTCAGAGCACCGGGAGGCACTTCTAGCTCCCTCCAAGACCCTCAGCCACCCTCTACCTTTCTCTAGCGTCATACAGCTGGGCTGACCGAGGCCAATCAGAGTGAGGCATGATGGGAAACATAGTTCTTATGGAGCCTACATCTGGGCAGGCTCCCATTTCAGCAATGGAGATGGTCTGCGGGGTAATCACCCACTGGACAGCTGCTGCCCCTGAAGATGGTCTCCAAGAACTCTCACTTTTGCAGGGCTGCTCTGCCAGCTGGGGCAGGGTATGGCAGACAGCTGGGGCAGAGGGATGGGGGGGTCTGATCTCAGTACAAGTCATTGCCAGCGGCGGAGGGAGCTCCGCTGTTGACCGACTGAACGGGAACCCAGGAGAGGTGCTTGTTTGTGGAGCAGTTAACTGGGAATTCAAACTCTTACCCGGCCAATTTATGTTGCCCTATTCCCAGCTTCTGGCTCGCAGCTGGGGAGGCTCAAGCTATTCAGAGGACCAAAGAGATGCAAGCAGTCTCCAAAGGGATGGTAGTGTCAAGGTCTGGATTAAAGCAATCAGAACCTCTTATTTATTGACAATTCACTCCCTGTCCCACACGCAGCCACCTTGGGCACAAAACAATGAACTAAAGAGGAAACAAAGTCTCCAGGCAAGACAAACACTGAAAGAAAGGAACAAAAACCAACCCCCCAGCAAAAAAGTCCCACAAATGCAAATAAATTAAATTCCCGACAAATAAACTTAATTGAACCTGGCAGCATTTCTGGCCACTGTATTTAAAAAATAAAATAAAAAGGGAAAAAATACAAACAAGGCAAAAAAAGGTACAAAAAAACCGAATCACAATCACAAAGTGTCTGAAAAAATACATAAAGCTCTTTGTCGACTGTTCAACGCACACACAAACAGGACAGCTGAATCTAGGTTCTGGGCAAGAAGTGGAGGCTCTCTACCTTCACTGGCAGGTAGAGAGGCTGTCCACATAACAGGCTTCTGGAGTCCGTCTCCTCGCTCAGAGCGTCCGGTAGGCTCAGAGTGGGAGGGCTGTCCAAGGAAAGAGTTTAGTTCCACTTCGAATTCCCCCGTGAAGCCGGGTTTCTCCCCAACGCAGCATAAGGCCACATGGCCAAGCTCCAGAGCGCATTTGCTCGGTGGCTCAGCTGTTTGGCTGCAAAACGCCGTTATGTTGAACTCACTACTCACTTGTGGGGAGAAGGGGGCGGTTATTTGGCATCACTCGTGTCTGCAGCTTAGCCCCCCGGCTGAACCATCAGCGATCTGAGCAGGATCCCCCTTCCCACCTCCCACCAAAGGCTGCAAAGCGAGACCTGCCTTTGCAGTCCCGCACACCACGCGGGCGTACGTGAGCCCGGCTGGAGAGCTGTGGCTTTCACACAGGTGCCTCAGAGTGAGGAAAGAAACCGGGATGGCGGTGGTGGGGAAAAATAAAGCTTCGGCGCAGATGTGAACACTGTGCGGTTGGGTCACCCCAGGGCGGCACCATGCCGAGATCCGCTGGCCCGTTTGGTCTGGACTACGCCAGGAGGCCAGGACGATGGCAGAGGTGTCAGCTTTCAGGCCCCAGCAGGCCTGCTCTAAAGCCCGCAGTGGGTTTCGAGGGGCTGTGTGCTTTTCAAAGCCAGTTAGAAGCCACACGGACACTGGACTGGGAGGCGGATCTGCTGCAAGAGGCAAACCGCATTTTGCATTTGATGCTGGGTGACTGCCCAGCGTGACGAGGGAGCGTTTGCCAGAGGCCTTTAATCGCTTTTTAAATTACGAGCCACACGCTTGGAGGAATAATGCCCTGATATAATGCTGTGACTGACGGGGGCGGGGAGAAGAGTCAGCGGCTTAGACAAGTTATTTTTTTTCAAGCACAAAATGTTTCTCTCTCTTTAAAAGTCTTTAGATCTCCTCCACTCCGTGTGCAAATATCATCACCAGCCCCGGCTCGAGCACCATGTCCTCCCCCATGTGCTGGTTCTCGCAGGCCATCACCACCACGGCCTGCTTGCCGGGGATGCGCTTGGCCACGTAGTTCTCGTAATAGCGCCGGTTCATCTGGCGGGTTTCCAGGGTGGCCAGGCCCTGCGGCCAGTTCCGCTCGTGGGCGTTCTCGATCAGCTCGTTGATGATGGAGGTGGGGCACCCGCTTTCCACCAGCGAGCGCTTGATGACCGCCTGGAGCACAGCATCCGGCGTGGAGATCATCCCGCCCCATCGCGTCACCCGGGCAGGCTGCAAGGAGTTCACCCACCTGTAAGACACCAAGACACCATGGGTAAAATACAGGGGCACCCAGGAGACAGTAAGTGCTAACAGGCAGGCAGGGACTGCTCTGCCAGAGAACGAGACATGCAAGATGGCTACTTCAGCATGATCCTCAGAGGCAGGCTGGCCACATCAAAGATTGTCAGAGTTTCTGGGGTGTCTACAAAATATAGAGCCAGCTTATAAAGGTCTCAGAAAGGGCAGTGCCAGAGAACTCAGGTGCCCCCTCTGGGTGAAATTGGGATGGATCCAGAAAACCCACCAGCTTTCTTTCATAAAACCTAGTGGAGAATGGATGTTAGAGCCAGCCGCTCCCTCGGCACCGCTGGGGTTGCACCCTCTTCTGGTGGAGAGAAGGGATGAGGCTGGAAGGAGAACATGGCACAGAAACCGATGCAGTTAGAGATCATGCCCATGACAGAAAACAATCTGCCAGACTCAAGTAGCTAAAAGCAATGTTGGAGGGACATCTGGCTACCCCACAACTTCCTAGTACTAACTGCTTCAGGGACGGACATCTGTCAATACAGAGCCCTTTGCCCCATGTCCCTGCTCTCCTCCTTTCTCCTTAACTCACAGTAAGTTGCTCCTGAAGTCAGAGGCCTCGGAGTTCTTCTGGACCTTAAATCACGGCCCCTCCCTCGCCCCCTTCACAGAACCTCCTTCCCATCAAACTCCTTTTCCAGGCCGTAACTGCAACTTGGCGATGAATGAAAGTCCTCTCTCTGGTCCACCCTACGTGAGCCAGCCAAGCATGTTCCCAAGGTCTTGCTCCAGAAAGTGGGGCCACATCTCTGGCTTCCCAGCTACCCAAGATGGCCTTCAAAGTTCTTCATGGGCTTGCTTCCCTCCAGCCTCTCAGACCCACCATGACCATTTAGCATCCACCCCTGCCCAGGACAGTGTTAACCTCTGATGGCAGCAGATGTGGCGGGGAGAGAAGCTGCAATTTTCCAGCTTTCCAGGCACCTGAGGAGGCTTCCATGTCCAAGCAGCAGATGCACCAGAATTCCAGTGACCACCCACGTCCATGTCCGAGAACCCCTGGAGTAAAGCTTCTCCCTGTTCTTTTGATGCCGTTTTATTAACTCTGGTTAATTCAGTTTTCCTGAGCTGTGCTGAGTTGACCCTTCCACCAGTTCCCATCTGTCTGGTGCAAGGTACAGTGCAAGGATCAGCTCCAGAGCCATTTCTTCCAGCCCCATTTTCATGGGCAGGACATGGGCCGGCAGCTCACTGGTTTCGAACTGGCTGCAGGTACAGAATTTTACAGCTGGTGGGACCTGTAACATGAACAGGGCTGATTCGCCAGACTTCGGTCTCTAGCACAACGTCCTTAGCGACATCCTGCTTGCTTTAAGATTATGGGTTTTCTTGTGGCTCGCTTAGCTTGGTCCTGAATCTGCTGGGGGGATTTAATGACTGTTCCCAAGTCTTGCCAGCTGAGCTGATGCATCAGTCCCCCTGCGTCTGCCTCCCGAACACCTACTCACCGAGGCATGCCCCCATTGTAACTGGGATTGTGCGTTACCAGCGGCACTTACTCTAGGATTTCATTGTATTCAATGGTCTCTTCCAGGTTCTGCAGGTTGGGGTTGACGCTGCGGATGGCTCGCATGTAGGCCTTCAGCAGCTGGATGTCCCGTTTCTGCAAGAGGGAGGGCAAATGGAGAGATGTCTGCAACAGGCAGGAGTCCCTCACACACACAGACCTGCCCTCCCCACTTCCCGCAGGTAAGTAGGGCTGGGAATGGGTTGCAATCCAGGCACTGAACAGAAGGTTTGTTATGTACAGCCCCACACGGGACAGCAGCAGGGGACCTGGCTGTCTCATTAACACTCAGGTGGTGGAAGCAGAGTTTTTAAAAAATTAACCCTTCACTATTTTTCCTGCTCATTCTCCGTGTCCCAGTGGGCCCGCCGGGGGAGCCTCAAAGCTCATGGAACAGACCGAGGTCAGAGTACCTGGAGTGCTGCCATCCTCCCCTGCGTCCGAATCCTGTGAGCTCGGAGCACAACGCTCCCGCTGGGAGGGGACCCCACGGGACAAGGATTTCGACGTGGGACAAACAGCCTGGAGCTGGGAGAGGAAGCTCCCATTCAAACAGACACTGCATGCGCTAGAAACTAGTGGTCTACCAAGTTGCCTTTGTTTTTTAACCATCGGATTCATTTGTCCAATATTTGTGCCAGGTAAGAGTCCACCCGGCAAGAGAAGCTGTTAGCCTAGAAGGCCGGAGCAGACTAGAACCCCACCCATGGACACCCACATGAAAGAGGCTACCTGCTCAGCTAGCTGATGCTTGTGCTCCGCTGAAGTCTTCTCCAGCTCGGCAATTCTCGTCTGCTGCTGCTGCACCACCGACCTTAAGTGCTTGATGCAGTTGTGATTCGGCAGCTCATCTTTGGGCATTTCCAAGCTGCAGGGAGAGAGAGAGAATGGATGGCAGGGGAAGACAGAGCAGGCCAGGGCTCGGGATTAGCAAGGAGCATCAGAACCCACCCAGCTCCCACGACAAACTCAGAAATGTGGGGGACTTGCAGCGAGACATCAAACTAGCCTGAATTATAATTAACCACAGGCATTTTGGACGGGATCTTAAGCTCTCATGAGTCAGGGTTCAAACTGATCTAACCATTAGGGATCAGGATGAGGTCAGGGGAGGGGTGGGGTGGGTGATTCTACATCTGCTTACTGCAGGGTTCTTTCACTCTTCTCTGATTGTCTGGTGCTGGCCACCACTGGAGACAAGGCCCTGGAGTAGCTAGGCCTACTATACAGAGCCACTCACCTCCAGATCAGCTGGGATCACTAGCCCCCTCCCCACTGGACAGCCAGTGGTCTCCGCACAGCTCATGCATCATAATACCCAGCCAACAACTCACAGAGAAACTGAGGCCGGAGACCAACTGCCCTGCTCCAGCCGACCTGGGGGAAGCGGACGTGGGTAGGAGGTGCTGCTCATGCTACACCTTGTTCCGTGGATACGAGGTTAGATGTCTCACTGACTTAGGTTCCTAACTGCCACCTGGACCTTAGGAAAGTCGCCCCCAGTCTCCAGGGCTGGAAATCCAGGGCAGGTAAAATGAAGTTTAAAGACAAGCAACACACCAGCTGCCAGCAGGCTCAGAGACTGAGCTGTGATGGCCAAGCCTGGATAGCCCTCCCCTGCGGAGCACCACTGGCATCTACCGAGCCCTGTGCACTCCCAGCCTGGGGGGGAGAACAGCTTTCTCCCCAGCTCTGTCGCTGCCTCACGGGTGGCTACAAGTCTGGCCTCACCCCCAGGAGCAGGCTGTCTGAGAGTATAACCCTCAGGCCAAGTTACTCGAGGCCTCAGTGCCTTTAAAACTTGAGCCAGGCCCTCCCCTCTCTCCGGTCCCCTTCAGCCCCAGGAAACAATCCAGCAAGAATAATCCTCACCCACATCCTTGCTCGCACGTCACCGGCCGCTTTGGGTTATGTTCGCAGTCACTGAGGTGAGACATCAGGTTGTCGAGTCGCACGACCGCCGTGCAGCCGAAAACAGCGTTGTCGCACGTGATCTGCAGCTTGGAGAGCATGTTCCGCATAATCCGGGGGACGGGGCGGAGGTGGGCCACAGTGACAACGCTGCGGTCCACGGGGCAGGTCTGCTGCTGGGAGAACCACTGGGTGATGCAGGCGTTGCAGAAGGCGTGCTCACAATGCGGAGCCTGCATGGGGAAGGAACCGCGGGATGCAGTGACTTACCCCGACCCCCAGCCTTGTTCTCCGCCCGCAAAAGCCCAGGGCAGATGGGCAAAACCGGCAACTTTCACCAGGCCTGCAAATATCGTCCATCCCGCCTCTCAACCATGCCTGGGAGGTGAGGAAACACTCCCCCCATCCATCCCCCAGCTCGCAAAGCCCTGAGCATAGTGCAAGAGCTGTCACATGCTGCCCCGCTCCACCCACTAGATGCTACTGTCTCTTTAAATGCAGGCTTGACGGCCACGAAGGGTTGGGATGCTAAATGGATGCATTTTTCAGGAGCGGTTTAGAATGGTACTTCACTGTATTTACCCAGCTGGGTGTTACAAGGACTGCAGCAGGCAGGCGAAAGCTGTCACTGGGCTTAAGTTACAGTTGTACAAGTGTTACGTTTAGGGGCAAGAAACACATCAGCTCCTCCTCCGGAAAGCAGAAATCCAGAGCTGCAAGTCCACACAGGGGTGGGTCAGACGGTCAAGGGTTAAATCTGTCCAAAAGCTGCAGGACACTGGGCCGAGAGAAGAACTCCGCTGCCTGGAGGCCAGCAAGCCCCGAAGTACCCAGCGGGCAGAACGCTTGGGGGCAGTTCTTGCATTAGCCTTCCTCGGCCCATTCAATAGCATCATTCGTAACGTTTCCAGAAGCACCCTTCAGTGACACTGATCTAGACCCATTAGACACCCCGACTCACTGGCCTCACCACCTTAGAAAATGAAGGCAGCTGCGGTTACTAGAAGACAACAGAGCGAGTGCAGGGCGTGGCACAATGGAAAGCTCCCCGCTGCTGAGGGTGGAACTGACTGCTTCCCATCATGGTCTCATTGGACTCTGCAGGGCGGCCCAGGGCAGGAGGAAGGGTCCAAACCCTTGCCCCAAACCCTCCATTTGAGAAGGCCCCCGAATTGAGTGGGTTTGTGACCTGGCACGTGGGCTCGCAGCCCCAGGCAGGTTTGGCTTGGACACCCCAGGGAGGGGGAGCAACCCCTCTCCCGTCGGTAGGAATATTTTTGGAAGTAGGGGGAAGAAGACCCTCAGTTCCAGATTTTACTCTGGTTGGCCTGGTGGCTCTGGCTCCCCTTCATGATCTATTTGCTCTGCTGGCCTTCGCACCCGCCTAGGTCACTGCCCCCGACCCGAGGCCCTGCTCTCGCCCTTGGTTAACAGCGTGTCTCACTGCAGCGAGACTGAGAACCAGCTCTCTGTAGCCCGGGCTGTCCCCCCCCGGGCTGAAATCTTTCCCATCAACTCTGCTAACTCCTCCTGCCCCCGGGAAATAGACAGACACAAGCCAGAGCAGAACCCAAACCGCACTGGAGAGTCGGCTCCCGGCACTCAGCACCGGGAGTCTCTGTGACACTGGAACGTTTGGTTGCCAGGGTTGTAGCCGTTACCAGGGAGCCCCTGTTCCGGGCGTCAGTTTAACAGGCCGTGGCAACACCAGGCTGGCCAGGATCCTGTTTACATACTCGTGTCGCTAGGAGCTTTCTAGGAGGGCTTCTCCAACCACAACAAACCGATTTCTTTTCCCCCTGGAAATGGTGCTAGCCCAGCTGTGCCGTACCACGCCCCTCCTTCAGGCATACGAATGGCCCCTTCCCAGCCAGGGCAAGGATGCGAACGCAGAGGTGCCAGGTAACTAGACTGGGACGCTCCCCGAGAGGCAGGACATGGCGAGTCCAGATTCCTGAATTTACTCCGTGCAGTGCAATGTGGACTTGCTGGGTGGCCTTGGATACGACGGTTAATTTCGGTGCCATAGAGCCAGTCGAGTGCTGTACTTGGCCATCACACGAGGGGTGTCCGAAAGATCAGAAGTCTCATCTTCAGGACGGACTGAGAAATCCCAAAGCCCCCTGACTTCCCTGGGAGAGGCGGGCGGCTCAGCTCTCTTGGAAAGGAAATCAGGGGCCAAGCTGGATAAAGTTCTGATTTTTTAAAAAAGTGCTTTTATTTAGAACATTTACAAAATTCCAATCCATTTTTAACATGTTGCTCGTTCTTTACTTTCTCCCCACTGGACAGTCTGAAATTGCTAAAGCGGAGGTTTTAATTAGGGTCAGAATTGTTACCTGAATTTCAGATTTTACCTTGATTTATTTTCTGCCAAGAATTTCACATTTTTAGGCCCCTCTCTGCAGCAAGAGACCATTCTGGAGCTTCATAAACACCCTGACTTCCAGGCCACCACAAACTCAAATGTGGATATGCAAACAGCTTGTGCTGTATCTGCAACTAACAGCACCTTCCACTAGATCAAACTTCCACATGCCAAGAAAGGTGAATGCTTCTGCTAGACTACGCTCCTCCATCAGGGAACGCAGCTTGAAGTCAATGGGACTTGAACACCCATGTCCCTTAGGCACCTAAATACCTTTAAACATCTGGCCTTTATGCTTTGAAAATCTCACCCTTCGGATGTTAACTTCAGGCTATTTTTGAACATTTTGCCACTTATGAACATTCATAACAACATCAATAATATATTGAACGGTTATATAACTTTTCACTGTTAACACTGAAAATCATTTTGAAGGGACAGACGTCATGCCATTAAGAGAACAGTTAACATAGTTTTTGCATCTGTTGCTACGAACACCGAGGCACACAATGTTTGCAGGGTCAGAGACTCACATTTCCAGCATTTTGTTCTTTTGCTTGTAGAAGTTTTGCAAAATTCAGTAATCTCCTGCTTCTGACATTTAAAATCCAGCATTTATAATTTAGTTCATTATGAAGTGTTACGCTAAACGTACAATGGGTGCATGTGTTTAAGTTAGCATCAACCTGATTTAAATCAGCATGTTTTACTTTAAATCAATAATTTAAGTCAGTGGTTTAAACTTGCCTGGATTTACATCATTCTAGCCCACTGAGAAACCAACCAACTCGCGTTCAGAGCGAATGGAAGTTGTTAGACATGCAATGTGTTACTGCCCTACCATGTGGTCATCCCCTGCATCCCCTTGTCCTTCCTGTCAGTTGCACAACACCAGTTCAGAGAAAAATGCAGTGAACGTGTCTGTCACAGATGCAAGATCTGTAGAGAACGAACTACACCACCCTCCCCAGTCACAGTAAATTGTTTACTGGTGATGCGACTTCAGATTTAATTTTTGCCAAAACACAGACAGCTTAGCAAGCAGCAAAACACTTCAGCCAGCAAAGAGTCGTGACTTGCACTTTGCCCACAACTTACTGGCATTGCAGTCACTGCTGATCAAGAGTCCCAGCTGAACGTCCCTGTGCGGCTCAACTTTCCATTAGCCGCACTGCAGTGCATTTGTTCATGGCAAAGTTTTGTGTTACTGTCACTCACGCTCTAACGGGCCTTTTAAAAAAAAAATAGTTACATCACTCGAGTTGCTCAGAGCAGGCCCCAGGCTTTGCCGGAGTTCCTGCTATCCCTCAGATCCTAGGCTGGTTATCTGGCAATTTCAGGATTTTTTCCACCAGTTGCGAAAATGCCCAAGGGGGTAACAGAGCAAACCCTAAATCCTCTCGTGTCCCTGCACGGGTGACAATGCAAATCAGGGGCAGGGAAAGAATCCACTTCCTAAAGGGAACAACACCTCTGCCGCAGTCAGGCATAAGGTCACAGGGACCTCAGGAAGGATCTGGAGTCTGAAAATCTTTGTGCACAGGTGCTGTGTGATAACACACCGTCAGCACTGCCGTGATCCTGCTGACGCACGGCCTGACTCTGAACCCGCTCCAATAAGTTGGTAAATGGGTAGCGCCCCCCCCCCCGCCCCGGGTGCAAGGAGGACTCCTCACCCTCCCACCACCTGTAAGAGACAGCTGCTACGATCTCTATCCAAGCCCCAGGGACAAGTCTCAGCCCTCGTGCCCAGCATTAGACCACCCACGCGAACGCTTTTCCCAGTCAGGATTGCTCACTGCGCATGTTATGTATGGAGCAGAGCAGTTAGGGTCACAGTATTCCCAGCCTCCCTCCTGCAACGATTCCTCCCTTCCTGGGCCCAGCAATCGTCTCCAAACACAGAGCGACAGCTCACAGCAAGAGCTGTGATGTAACTATCTACAGGCCCACCTCTGCTAGGCCTCGGGCTCCACACTGTAACAGCAACCACCCGCTGTACAGAACCCAGAGCAACCCACCCGCTGTACCGCTCTGCGGCTTCACAGGCATTTCAGACGAACGCTCCCAAGACGGGGAGCCAAAAATCACCGCTCCCCACAGCGAAAGGCTGGAACAGGCACGCCGGCTACTGCTGCTGGCCTGGCTCTGCGCAAGCGACTCCCGCGTTTGGATTGTGCACGTGCTGGGGGAGAAGACAGCGCTGAACATACTGAGCTATTAATGACGTGCCAAAGGATCGCAATGTTCACAATCTGGACCCCCTCCGCTTTCCCGGGCCGAACGTTTGCTCCTAACAGGTGGCAGGGAGGAGGGCAGGGGGAGAGGAGACTCGGCAAGCCCGGAATCTTGCTGCTGCTAGAAAAGAATGGTCACCAGATACCCTCCAGAAACGGGGATTCCCCAGATGTGCTCGGCGTGGGTCCCACTGGGGACGCACGAGCACCTCCCGCGTGCACGATCAGAGGTGTTTTTTAACAGGAGCACTCATCGGGGCAGCTCATGCACCCGGACCACCTTGTGCGCCCAGACCCAGGCGCAAAGGAGCAAAGCCCCTCACAATTCAAAGCCCGTGCTGCTGAGGGCTTTGAAGAGCCAGGATGGAGGGCAGGTCATGGGATCCATACTGACTCCAGCATCTCCAAGAGCCGCAGTTCCTGCTGGGAACATAACTGTTGTCTCCCCCTTCAAGCATGGGTCAGCCTGGGCTCCACTCTAGGTGCCTGGTAGGCGGTATCCTCCTGGGACAGTGGCAGGGGGGGTGAAGGGGGGGGGGGGTGTTTCAGCTGCATCCGTCCAACAGGGATTGGAGCCCTGCTCTCCCCCAATGGATTATCACGCCTGGCAGGCGGGTCAAGTCAGAATGTTTAATGAACGTTGGCGGCTGCTGCACACGGCTGCCTGGCAGACCTCAGGCTGACACGTTCCTAAAGCAGGCGGAAGATGTGTGCCCAGGGGAGCACGCTTCCAAATGTGAAGGGAGAGACCTGCCAGCCTGCTGGTAGCAAGTGGAAATACACCAAGATCCACTTCGCGAGTCTCTGCAACAAAACAATTTGGCCTTTCAATGCGCTGGATACGGCCACAAAGAGATGGGGGAGAGGCTGTCAGCTCAGGCCCCTGGAGTACACAGCTTCTCTTCTGCTGGTGTGGAGCAAGACTTCGGGAAGGCGGCTGGTTTGGTGATCAGCTGGTTCAGGTGGAGTTCTGAGAAGCCGGGGTGAATGCTAACCCTAACACCACGCCGCATGCAAAAATGCCGGGAGAAGTTTTTTTATATAGAACCATCAAATGCCAATGCACACGCCAGCTCCAAAGCCTCTGATAGGTCTCAGACACCCGTGGAGGTTGGGGCAGTCGCATTTTAGAAGTGATGAATTGAAATAGCTAGGATGTTCATATACGAGCAGCTTTCAGCAGATTTCCACCAGTATTTGTTAGATTACAGCAATTTAACCCTGGTTAGGCTGATTTTGGCAAGCCGCTACTTTCAAGCAACGATCGGAAGGGTCGGAGCTGCACTTGTACATTAAGCTTCTCTTTTCACACATGCATGGCTGTGCATTTAACATCCACCCGCACTTGCTAGAACGGGGATAAAACCGTAGTACGGAATCACCCCTGTAAATCTCGCCAATCACGACAGCGGAAAGGAACTAGTTATTGCTCTTTCTGGCACCTACCTGCACTGGCTCCTCCAGGACCCCACTGCAGATGGGGCATATAAGGTCTTCATCAACATCCCCCTGAAAGCGGGCTACATCATACCCCATTGCTCATCACCGTCGCCAGAACCCTGGAAAGAGAGAGAAGGAAGGAGATCAGGGGCAGGCAGAGAACTGCGGGGATCACACCGGGAGGAAAGCAAGGACAGACTCATGTTCTGCTCCTCTGAAGGCAGAGCCTGATCTGGGAGTTTAAAGTCCCTCTTTGCAATGCGGAGAGTTGGAAACAGACCTGAGCCTGCTGCATGCTAAGCCAGGGGCTCGCAGGCCAGCTCCAAGCCCTTACACAATAGGGTGTGGTGCCCTGTTGTCAGCCCCACTTCCATGCATTGAATCGCTCCTCAGCGGGAGAGCAAAACTAGCATCAATTGCACACTTCCCTCCCCCACAAGGCATTACTCATCCCTCTGCACTTGCAGCTTTTCCCATCTTGCTTCTTTTGTCCTCGCTACCGAAGGGTCTGTGCGTGAGAAGGCAGAGGAGGCACCGAGCGCCCAGGACCCTACGGACAAGCACCAGATGTGCTCAGACCACCAGGATTCTAGCTCCGCTCTCTGCCACTGACACAGGGTGATCTTGGGCAAGTCACTTTGCCTCTCTCTGCCGCCGTTTCCCCTCCCACCCCGTCTCAGCTACGTAGGCTCTGTCAGTCCCTGAGTAGATATCTGAGCCGTGCCTGGCACAATGAGCTGGCAAACTCAGACAGGGTCTCAAGGCGCTAGGGTAATTTGAATAGCACAGTGCCCCTGCAGCGGAAGCCCCTGGGCCATTGCCCGCTACAGGAACACCGTCTGGAAATCCTCACGGCACAAAACAACAGCGAGACCCCAGCTGGATACGTTTACGAATGGGATGTCTGCGGTCGCAGGGTACTGGACCTGATGACCGAGGAGGGTCCCTTCCAGCCCTGACCCTAGCCCTAATTTCTCAAGTTTCTTCCCCCACAGAACTGCATCCCGATCATCCTCTCCATTGCACGGATTCCCTTTGGCAGCTTCCATTCCCTTTCTCCAACAGCAGGTTCCCATGCACTACAGTCAACCCGAGCTGGTTACACAGCGCCACCTGAACTCCGGCATCCTGCCCAGTACTCAGGGATCCTAGTGTCCGTTCTTTGGTTAAAGTGGGGCTTCTCCTCTCGCAAGCCTGCTCGAGCGGTGAGCATGCCACACCCTGTCTGCGGTTAGCTGCTCCCTGTGCCCAGAAGAGCCAGATGGAGACAGGGATCTAGTTCACACAGGAGCCCTGTAACGTCTGGAGTACAGGAATAGCATAGCCCAAGTTATTCCCACGTCCCTACAGCTCTTCTGCTCCTAAGTCAGGATTCGAGAACCGGATCCATTGATTCCGGTACTGTAAAACTTCAGGTGCTGGTTTAATTCCAGGTGTCTTAATGAGTCACTTACGCATCCTCAAGACACAGGACTTTTAGAGCCCCACAGAATTCACCGGGCTACCGTGGGCTTCCAGTCTTTCCTACACACGCCAGGTGTGCGGGAACATTAGAGGATGGCTGTGGAGATTATGTAACATGATCACAACCAACATCAAAATGTTTCAGAGGTGCGAATGGTCTGAGTCATGTGACACCATCCACCCCTCAGGGGAACATGCTCTATTTAGCCTCTAAGCTCTCCACATCAGGGCCCGGGGTGTCAGCATAGTGCCCAGTGAGGGGGGGGCCCTGACCTTGTTTGGGTCTGTAGTTGCTATCACAGTACACAGAGGTAAAAAGACAGGAGTACCTGTGCACCTCATGAAGTTCCTGCATTTACCCGCAACCTTTTACAAGGCCCTGCACTGGGACAAAGGTCCTTTCACGGTCCCTCACCAAACAGATCCCGCAGGAAGATGGTAACCCCACTCACATCTCCAGGGTATCAGAGCAGCTGGCAATGATGGTCTAAAAGGTCCCCCCCATTTCTTACAGAGGATCTTCCTAGACCAAAAAGTTGCTATGGGGAGACATAAGGCTCCTAACCCTTGAACTAAGAAGTCAGCACATGGCCTGTGACTGGAGCTGCTCCTCTCCGCTCCATAAGCCAACCAGTAAGGGGGTTGATTATGACATCAAAAGGTAAGCCAGCCAGTCGCCACCTACCCTGTCACTCATTTGAAAGCTATCATCCTATTGGTCCAAGTACCCCAAAAACTCTTAACAGCGTTAAACGCATTTGAGTTTTGTCCCAGTTCCTGAACTAACCCATCACAATCCAGTCGCCTGGCATCAGTTCACTCGGCAACTAGAGATGGCCCAGGAATGCCAGAGACAGTCTGGGATAGCAAAGGAGGTTGCAGCTCTTCTTCCCCAAAACCCAACAGCCCTGGAAAGCAAGTCTGCCCATATTTACGTCAGCAGTAACACCAAGAGTTCAAAGAAGATCTCCGTGGTAACGATGGTGCGTTTTCCAAGCAAGATAGCTCTCCCCCGCCCCAGGAAGAGTCAAGTGCGGTTTCCATTAGCAAAAGGGAGATTAACAGCTTTTTAAGAGTTTTAACCAAAAAACCATTTGGCACTCTTGCATGGAGGTCCAAGGTTCATTTCCACACTACACAAGGCATACGTTCACGTGGCTTTGCCACAGCGTGTTTGTGTCACAAATCTGACATCAGGAATGATAACATTCATAACCAGTAGGAGAACACTTCAATCTCCCTGGTCACTCAATAACAGACCTAAAAAAGTGGCAATTCTTCAACAAAAAAACTTCAAAAACAGACTCCAACATGAAACTGCAGAACTGGAATTAATTTGTGAACTGGACACCATCAGATTTGGCCTGAATAAAGACTGGGAGTGGTTGGGTCATTACAAAACCTAACCCTAATTTCCCCCATACTAATTTCCCCCTACTGTTACCTTCTTGTCAACTGTTTGAAATGGGCCACCCTCATTACCACTACAAAAGTTATTTTTCCTCCCTTGGTATCCTGCTGTTAATTGAGTTGTCTCATTAGACTGACCTCACACTTAGTAAGGCAACTCCCATCTTTTCATGTATTTATACCTCCTCCTGTATTTTCCACTCCATGCATCCGATGAAGTGGATTCTAGCCCATGAAAGCTTATGCCCAAATAAATTTGTTAGTCTCTAAAGGTGCCACAAGGCCACAAAAACCTCGCTGTTTTTGCTGATACTAACACGGCTACCCCTCTGAAATGTGTGTCCTCTGGATCCCAGAGGTTCCCAGTGAACTAAGCCTTCTGCCGAGTTAAAATGGCTTTGGGCACTATCTACGGAACAGATTTTCTGTGTGTCCGCTCGATATCCACTGGCTCTAGGGCACACTCATCTCTACCGACGCAGACCGCTGAGTCATTTGAAGGCCGGAGGATAAAGACCTCCGCCCGTATTCTGTCCCACCCAATTCATCTTCCTCGCTTCCATAACAGCCGCTCTAGGTTTCACATCAGCCTTGTGCTGCTGCCCATCAAGAAAGGCCAAGTGAGATTTACGCACTGGATCTATGCACCATTAAATGTTCACGCTGAATGCTCACAAGAGAAATATTTGCTAAGATGGATGCGTCATCTCTCTGTTGGGTTTGCTGGCTCAGCGCTTCAGAGTGCACTTCCTATCCTTTACTTGTGATCTGTATGGTGCCAACATGGGGCTGTAAAGGCCGTTACTTGCCCTGAAGACATTATACTCATTATGGACAACACACAAAACAAGGAACAGGGCATTAGAAAGAACAGAAAGCAGCAGGACTGAGCAGCGAAGTGTATTGTGAGTCTGATTGGAACAAAATCATTCTGGCTGGGGGGGGGGGGGGGGGGGGAATCCATCTAGTCTCCAGATGGCTGGGGTCCAAAATAACCAGCTGTTCTATATGGCTGGGGTATAGAACCTATGGCTTGAGCAACATGGCAACAGGGAACATTCAGAATGGTCCGCCATTAGTTGGCGGATTGAGTATCAGAACCAGACCCCAGGCATTGAATATGTAAAACTCTACCCTAAAAAACCCTGCGGATGCTGTAGGAGAGCCTTGCTCTGGAGTGACTGTTTAAATATTGAGCATCAATTTCTACATGTTACCACTCTGGGTTTTTATAAAGGGTCTTCATTTGATAGATCCTTGCACAGCAGAGACAGCAATAGCACACAACATCCAGTAACTATAGAGTAAATATACCGACAGTCAAAGCAATATCAAGTCCAATCGAAGATCATAAAGGTAGAAGAGAACCACTGAGGTCCATTCCCTGCAAGCCCAAGAGAGACACCCTGCCTTTGGAAATCCCCAGTCTAATTCCCCTTTAGCTGCTTTGAAAATCCCAGCTGTGAAGCTCGAGTATAGAGCCTTAAGCAGAAAGAAGAGACACTCTAGACAGGCAGTGCCGATGAAGGCCTTTGATGGGCTTGTTTTACAGCCAGAGGGGAGAGACGATGGATATGGGATGAAACAGACAATATAAAAAAGGCCTAACTCAAGTCCTGGTCTGCTATGAGCAGCCCAGGCCAAAATGCTGGAAGTGAAGCAATTTAGTTCACTAACAACTGCAGGCTACAAACACACTTTGCACTAAACGCAGAACATGCAAAGTCACGGCAGCTACTTATTTAGAAGCCACCTGAGGTCGGAGCTCAGCATCATCATCATGTGGGAAATAACCCTCCCAAATGTAAAATGCAAAGCAGCGACCTTTGAAACTGTTCCTGGGAAAACCAAAGACCCAGTGAGGAGTTAAACCCCTCACGTAGCGGCTCCAGCAGGCCAAGGATGATAGAACTTCACTAACAGCGCGCAAGACCACACACTTCGACTTCGGGATCTGTCAAGTCGAATCTGGTGAATAAGTTATTCCACCCGTCCCCTCTGACAGCAGATACACCCAGCTGGTGGATTTACTGAGTAAGTATCAGATGCAAAAGACTAGTCCATAATGAGAGCCAGACCTTGTTGGACAGATCTGCTAAATCAAACTTAATTACGGCCTGTGCTGGAAGTCTCAGATTTCCAGCTTTGCCTAGTTTCTCAGAAAACAGACACCCTGTTTTCATTACGGCCAATACGAGGTCTGCCAACAGCACTGCACCTGGGTGAGCTTGGAGGAAACCTGTTCTGTAAGCAATGTTATTTGTATAATCTTCCCAATTTCATAAACCCTGGGGGCCAGAAAAGTACATTAAAACCAAAGGGAAAACAAGAAGGCCACAAGAGGGAGTGTCTCTTGTAGTTAAAGCACAGGACTGGGGGCCAGAACTCCAGGGTTCTATTCCCAGCTCTGCCACTGACTCACCCTGTGATCTTGGGCATGACCCTTGTGCCTCAGTTTTCCCATCTTTAAAGTATGTCCGATAGGAATTCCCCCAGAGATATTCATGTAAGTGTTCAAAGCTCTTTGAGAGCTTCCAATGAAAGGCGAAAGCAAGGGACGTGGCAGTACTGGACTTTCGCTTCTGCACGTGTTTTGTGTAGCTTCAACCAGAGGGAGGAAGCAGAATCTAGTGGTCAGATAGGGAATGGTCAGAAAAGGGGAGCCCAGAGTTCTGGTCTTAAGAGGCAAAGGAAAGTAACAGGCATTCGACACGTGGAGGAGAAGCACTGGGGCAGCTGTGAGTATCTGTCACAGCTGCTTAAGCTAGTACAGGACCAAGACAGATGAATTCTGAGGGAATCACACAGTTGGTGCTTAGAGGGGGTCATTTACAGGCGTTGCAAAGTCTCTGAAACATTTGGCTAGAAACACTCCCTCCCCCCCATGAGCCTCTGCTGCAGTCTTTTTGCTTTCTCAGCGAGGGTGAGAGCCGGTTTTGGGAGGGGGCAGCCCAAGCCCACACAGACACAGCTCTGGACTGATAAGCAGATTGTTTAGGGGAAGATGGGAGAGACAGAGAGTGAATGAATCGAAGGCCTTGTGTACACTTAAGGTTTGCAGCTTTGACTCTGCCAGTGGGAATCCAGGCCAGCAGAGAAAAGGCAGAACCGCTAGTGCAGACAGAGTTATACCAGCAGAGCTGTGCCTGTGAGGCCAGGTCGGCCAAACTCGAGGAGCTATCCTGCCCCAGGATAACGACACCGACACTGCGAGTTCCACTGGCAAAGCTAGGTCCGGAAAAAACAAAACAATTCCCGACTGGCATCGTTACACTGGTAAAACACCAAGCACAGACCAAGCTTGAGAGAAGAAATGAGCTGCTCGGCCATGGAGAGAGCCGAAGCACTCCCGCCTGCCACGGGTTTCTGACGTGCAACATTTCTGCGCATCTAGCCCCACTATCTTCTGCCCCAGCCTTCATGTAGCCCTGCTGCTCCCGGCACAGTCTCATCCGCTGCAGCTTCCTCTCTGCCGCCTAGCTTCACTTCGTCCCAGATTGGAGTGGAAACCACACAGTGGAATCGGTATAGCAGAGAGAGATGTGACCCAACGGCTCTGGGACAGGGGGCTCCAACACTGACCTTTCGCTATCCCAGTGCGCCTCTACAGCACAAAGCAGATGCTGCTGGTCACTGACAGCAACGTGACCCGTTCTGAAGCCGACTATTAACTGCAGCGACATTGAACCTGCACACGCAGCAGCACGTAAAGCCAGCTGGAACGCCATCTGCATGACCTAGCTGGCCAGCAACCTAGTTCTAACAGTGCAATGCAAGTGTGACAGAATGACGCGTGGCACAGAAACCTAATGTGAGCTAAGGTCGTTCCGACAGACAGCACAGCGAGGTGGTAGGAGGACACATTCAGACAGCATGTCAATTAAGCAGTGGGATCCAAAGTTTCCCTTGAGCTGGAAACCACAGGCACGTGCCACCTCTCTGCTCAGATGAAAATGTGAAACCCTTCCACTGTGAAGGGAAGAGAGGAATTTATTTATAGCAAAATGCACCTTGGAGCCCATGTGAGAGAGACAAACATCAAGGGGTAAATGATCAAAGCAAGACTGAGTTTTGGACCCACATCTCCCACAGAGTTTAGAACAGAGGTTGTGTAGCTGAACTGCCCTGCAGAGATGAGACAGTTACTCCGGCCCCACGTGGAAGTTAGACAACAGCACATTATAACCATCTATAAAAGTCACACTTTCATTTGTTAGTCCCTCGATAAAGCGTGCACGCATTCTGGGGACACGGGGCTCCCACCCACAGCTTCCTCCTGAGTGAGGCTCATTTAGATTCTTTTGCGGGATTTTATTAAGTCTCCTACCTGGGCAGCTTCTGCCAACTGATACGGCCTGTTTTATTGGTAGCTGGAGCCTTTATTCATGTGCCAGGTTTTCCAGATCAATCGGTTACTGTTTCCAGCGTAGAATTACCCTTAGTGGTTGTAGGTGCTGAAAGTGGCTTCAACCACACGGAGAACATGGGCTTGAATGGTCAGACCTGGAAATGCAGAGTTCTGTTTTTAAGAGGCCAAAGCTCGTACTTAGTTTTGTTGAGGAGTTTTGTCTGATCTACGCTTAGCCAGGGTGGATGTGGGGCACGAAGCACTGACAGACTCAATTACTTAGCAGAGATGGGGACGGAGGCCTTGACTTCACTGCTAAAAAGGTGTATTTTTACCAGTGGGTAACTAATGTTTGAGAGCTACACTAAGGGGGAAAAACCCAGCAAAGAGAAGGCACTTTAGTTTTACGGAGGTGAACAACGCGAGGTCAGCAGCAGGCAGGGGCATAGTGCTGACCTCACCTAGCTTACCTGGGGTGAACCTGAAGTGTCTTCTCTTCATTGTTTTTACCTCAGAATAGCTCACACACATTTATTACTCTGAGGATAAAAACCCACCTGTTCTTTTTTGTTTGTTTTTTAAAAGCAGTGAAGACAAAGCCTAATTGCTCTTAACTCCACTCCACGAGGTAAAGAAAGATCAGAGACAGGAACAGCAACTTAGACAAAATCTGGGATATGCAGTGTTGTTATAGCCCTGTTCTTTCAGTCCCCATCTCTGCTAAGTAACTGAGTTTTCCAAAAAAAAAAAAAAAAAGAAGACCTAGATAAGTTCATGGAGGATAAGTCCATCAATGGCTATTAGCCACGATGGGCAGGGATGGTGTCCCTAGCGTCTGTGTGCCAGAGCTGAGAATGGGCAACAGGGGATGGATCACTTGATGATTCCCTGTTCTGGGGCACCTGGCATTGGCCACTGTTGGAAGACAGGATACTGGGCTAGATGGACCTTTGGTCTGACCCAGGACGGCCATTCTTATGTTCCTCCTAGGATCTTTGAGAGACAAGGTGGGCAAGGTAATAGCTTTGATTGGACCAACTTCTGTTCGCATGAGACACAAGCTTTTGAGCTTACACAGAACTCTTCTGCAGGTCTGGCTGCTCCAATAAGAGACATGACCTCACCCACCTTGTCTCTCTAAAACCTGGGATGAAATTTGTGCACAACCAAGAATACTTATGGGTACTTTTTTCCTTGCTTCTTATGACCTGGATGGCCAAACAAAACTAAAGTATGGGCCTGAAAGCAGCCAACAGTGAATAATGCCACCTGGTTGGTAGAGCTGGTAAGGACACTTATTTCCATGCCAGTAACGGACGGGAGAGGGACACATTTTTGACTGAAATTCAGAGGGTTTAAGAAATTATATCCTTGAAATTTTGCAAGAGTCTTTTTTTTTTTTTTTAAGTAAGATTTTTCCACTAACTTGCCACAGTGATTTAGAGAGAAAAAGACAGCAACAGCACATGGCTCTTCACCTATTAACCGCTCTGCGGCACAAGACAACTGTACCACTGACTGCTCAAACACTAGTGACTAGGAACAGAGCTGTTTAACCATAAGCTTCAACTCTGAGGCATCAGTTGTCTTTTCAGAGCAAGAAATTGAACAGAAACTCAAATGTGCACTGAGTCGAATGGTGATCAAAGAACTCACCCACGCAGCATTAGTACAAAATGCCTTTGATGGCACTCGTATGCATCCAGGAAGTCAGCTTAGCAATTTTAAAGAATGTGCGCTCCACTCAGAGGGAAAATCAGGGAATGAAAAGGTTTAACTCAGTAATAGCATTTGTAGTTTTATACACGTTTAACATGCAATTATGTTGTGAAATTGATATATCCATAGAGCCCAACACTGTGGTATTTAGGCGCTGATGCATTCATGCCAACATGTGAGCCACACACGAGACAGGTAACATGGATCGTGGCGATAATTGTTTGGAAAGGTATTCAAATCATAACCCACCAGATCAAACTCATTTGATATCAGTTACAGGAGAATTACGGGAACTGTAGTTTAAATTATTTAATAAGATTCTAACATTTTCTTTGCTCTTCTCACTAATCTCTAGAAAGCCACCACCATTGCCAGCAGTTGTTGCCCTAATGTACATACTTTGAAACAATGGTGAGGAATTAATCCCATCTCTGAATTTGTTCGTTTACATCATACTAGGAAACCATTTGATCAGGTTTCTGTTATCAGTGCAGTCCCTCCCACCCGTATGAGAAAACCCTGTATTTTGAAGCACCAACTCCACTATTAAAACCCTCGTTCTAAGTCAGTTTACCCCCATCAGACAAAGACTTCCTAAACTAATGACCCCCAGCAGCAGTCTGCAGAGATTTTAGTGCATAGTATTTGCTGCACAAGACCCCAAGACACGTCCTGCAGCAAATAGTGACAAGAAATTATCTGCTCAGGGAATTATTTTGGGGAAGTCCCATGACCTGTGTCACGCAGGAAGTCAGCCTAGATGACCACAATGATCTCTTCTGGCCTTGAAATCTATGAATCTAAGTGCTCGACAGCCCGTGGTGAGAACCTCCCGTCTAGCCAAGTGACCACAAGGCTGAGAGCCAGGAAAGCACCAGTTCCAATTCTGGATCTGCTACCGACTCACTGCAGAGTCCTGGGCAAGCCACTTCACCACCCGATAGCTCAGCTTTCCGATCTGTAATGTGACTTCTCACAGGTGTGACATAAGGATGAGAGGATGTGTCTTCACTGCAGAGTTACCTCGGGTGATCTGCACCCATGTTAGCCTAGCCCGGACGTGAGCAGCCACACTGGGAAGCCACAGTAGAATACTGCATCCTCGCTGGTTCTCTGGATCATAGTAACTTGAGTCACTGATCCTTTCCCAGGGAACTGTGAAAGAACTTGTCTGTCCTTCTGGGAGTGTGTGGGGAATTGTGGGAAGGCACTGCAGGACTGTCAGCACTCAAGGGATTTAGACTGCAAAGTGGGCAGGTTACCAGTCTGAGCGAAAGCAGAATCCAGGCTTTAGCCCACACCCACAGCCAGCCCACTAGCCAGGGACGAAGGCACCATTAAACTCGGGAGAGAAGTTTGTGTGTGGATGGAAGGGCGTTAAGGACTGTCATAAATATTAAGGGAAGGGTAAACACCTTTAAAATCCCTCCTGGCCAGAGGAAAAACCCTTTCACCTGTAAAGGGTTAAGAAGCTAGGATAACCTCGCTGGCATCTGACCACAATGACCAATGAGGAGACAAGATACTTTCAAAAGCTGGGGAGAGGAAGAAACAAAGCCTGTCCCCCTCCCTCCCTCCCTCCCTCCCCGTCTGTCTGTGTGATGCTTTTGCCAGGGACAGAACAGGAATGGAGTCTTAGAACTTAGTAAGTAATCTAGCTAGATATGCTTCCTCTCTCCAGCTTTTGAAATTATCTTGTCTCCTCATTGGTCATCGTGGTCAGGTGCCAGCGAGGTTATCCTAGCTTCTTAACCCTTTACAGGTGAAAGGGTTTTTCCTCTGGCCAGGAAGGATTTTAAAGGTGTTTACTCTTCCCTTTATATTTATGACAAGGACAATGCCTTGGTAAGAGCCCAGGGTAACACTCCAGTGAAGACATAACCTGAGTGTTTACACAGCACTTTAGGGACCTAAAATATGAGGCACGCTAGCATCACATGATCAATGTATTATTCATCTCTGTTCGCAGCACAGTACAAGGGTACATGAAGATAGCCCCTGCCCAGAAGAGCTTGCAATCTAAAGGCCTTAGCAATGGCTTTAACAGGAGTTGGATAGGATCCTAAAGAACAGGGGAGACCTGGACTTTACGCAATAGAGTTCGCCACCAAAATAAGTTACTTAAAGGTTAAAGCAAAAACACTCTGACAAGCCTCCTCCAGGCTGTTATTGGAAACAACCTGGCTCACCATTCACTGAGTTACGCAAAGCCAAGTTAACCCTTCACACCATGAAGCAGAGACATGAATGCACAATCCATGCAGCTTCCCAGAAAAAACTAACTTAGAGGTGTGTCGACTGCTTTGGACGCAAGCCAAAGGCATTGCTCCCTCGGCCTGGCAAGCCTCCTTCAGCAATCAGAGCACTCCGCTTGCTTTGCCTGTCTTCCTGATGAGACACTTAGGCCAGTGTCCTTCACATGTGCAGCACACCTTGTCCCCTGGCCTTCCCTTGGCCTGGAGAGCTGCTACAGAATTAACACTGTATGGCTTGTGCCCGCCTGCTTCCCCAGAACTCAACAGTTATCACAGTGAGCTCTGCTTCCAGTCCTACGATCAGGGAGAGACGGCAGCTCTGTTCCACCACAGCTATGGGATCAATTATGAAACTAAATGAAAACAGATCTGTAAAACATTCAAGTGCCAGATTCAAGCCCTGTTGAGCCCAGTAGTTTGGACTGTGGCGATCCATCGGCCTGGTTAAAATCATGGCTCAGACTCACAATGAACGAGTTTCTCTTGAGCTGTAGCAAGCTAGGAAGCTCTGGAAAGCAAACTGGCATTAGAGCCCAGGGTTCTCTGGAAACATCACGTCAGTTGTACTCAGTCTGGTGGTTCCATGTATCAATCTCTCTCCCCCCATCCCTGACTCATATTCCACTGCCCTCAACATATGATTCTGCAGCAAAACAAGCCCCTTGTGGCTTTGCTGTGACATACAAGGTCACTGGCTGTTTTTTGTGGCGTCAGCCAATATGCAACATTCTCTTTTCACAGCATGACTTTAAAACATCGCCTTAACTGTTGTACCTTCATCCACGATCAGCTCAGAGCCAATATAAACGAGGACAGTAAACAGGTTTCACATCGGTTTGACAGCCTCCTGAGTCGCTGACAGACTATTTTAATTCCAAGCCACTCCTACCCAAGAGCCGTACACAGGCCATCCTTGCAGCTCATGTCGTTTAAGGGATGTTGTGGATTTGAGTTTACAAATATTCAGATTTCTGACCGTACATCCTGACCTCTTAAGTTGTCAAGGGATTGTCTGCTTCCTGCCAGCGTTTAAGGGTCTTTTGGATGAGCCCGAGTGTAATGCCAGTGAGCCCATCTCTCCTCCCCTTCCTTGTCTCAGCCCACTGCCTCTTCAGATTCAGCTTTGCGGCTGCCATTACTGGCCAAACAACCTTTGCAGGGCCAGGGCAAGAGTGCGCATG